GATTTTTCATCAGCTGAAGTCAGGTAACATATCTATTTTCAACCATGTATTTGCTGAGCTGCCGAAAATAGATTCATAAGCAAAACAGAATTAAAATTTAAAGAGTTTGGTTAAGAGTTTGGATTTGTCAAACAACAACGTGCAACAATTGAGGTGTAAAGGAATACCCCGTAATATGCAAGATATTCGCCCTGAGATCACATTTAGAAATAAAGGGGCGTATAGGTGACCCAGTGTCCTTTAGGGTGGTTTTTCGCCTGCTCAGAAGTAGTAAACAAAGACTTATAGACAACACTAGCATTAGGGTCCTCTTGTATAGACCTGAATTTAATGGAATGCGGGAGGATTTCGCCATCTGCTTCTGTAGTTTCGTCTGAATCAGGTGATACAGTAGTGGTATTGCTGGATACAGGAACGACACCACATAAGGTTCGATTAGAAGAACTAGAATCATCAGCCCGTTTGATACGCTTTGAATCTGTTGGCTGCCCGCGCGAACTAACAGGCCGACAATCCATGGATCCTACACCGCCACTATTGCTGCAGGAAGCCTTTTGTTCTAAGTCGACTGGACGCTTTTTAGCCTGAAAAAGTTAATGATGGAAGAACATTTATCATCATGGATATATAGAAAGCATAAGGAAATTCTGAGCTATAAAGATAAAAGTGAAGGATTGGTTCCAAAGTTAGCAAAGCCTTTATTTGAGAAATAAGGAAATTAATGTACTTAATATTTGCTAAATTTGATGCTCTGAACTAGCTAATTTCATGGAGCTGCGTAGATAAAAGGCAATGCGCTAAAAGTTGGTTAGGCTTCTCGTCTACGAGGCCTGCGTTGATGAATTTCAAATGTGACTCCAATATTTCTATAAATAAAGGTGATTTACAAACCAAGGGTATCACGGCTAACCCAGTCTGTGATGTAGTAATAAAATAAGTAAGTTTTTGTGCCTCAAGGATATCTCCAAAAACTGCAATTTAGCCAAGCTCAGAGGTCACCAATCAGCTATCAGGATGAGTCCAACAGAGGCGATACAGCCAACAATTATTTTGATAAGTATGCATAGGCTAAATTATAGGCAAATTATATGGACGAATTGAAAGCCACGAAGAGACTTTGATCAGAAAGTAAAAAAGGATAGCCAAATGTTAACTCTGATAGAATGGGTAGTGAAATACACGAAAGATCTGAATTTGAATAATTCCAGAAATATCTTGGAAAAAGAATAGACAAAGCTTAAAATCAAATGGAGATATTTAGCTTTGAAAATAGGCCGTAATTTTACACTATAACTATGCTGATAGTTCTGGTACTTAAATCTTTGCCAAGTCTGAACTCATGCTTGTGAAAATATGCATTAAAACACAAATGCGACTTATTAATCAAACATGAACGAAATTAGGCTATTTTCACGTTTAGGCAGAAGTGTCTATAAGTGTTGTTAGGGGGACCTTCATTTCGAATGAAAGTGCATGAAGAAGAGATTCGTTGGTCGATCTCACGAAATGAGGACGGATGAAACTCGTTGTACTGCAGCCATTTGGCTTTTAAATGATAATTATGTTGACGCAGTTCACGAGACTTCCTCCCTCGTTTCGGGTAAAAACATGCTGAGATTTCGTCCATCATATGATGGACATCATCAGAACTGGGTGTCATTCTTGTAAAAGTCTCCCATTAACACTAATGCAAGAACACTATCCGGCTCTTACTTCTTATATACACTCAATCAAGTCAAAAATAATAATAATTAAAAACCTAGATAGATCGATATAAAGTGGTTTGGTTAATTTTCTTTCATACTGGTTCTGGTATTTTCGCTCGACTGTATGAGAATGTATATTTGTGTGTTACCGTCTATATGCAATACGGTTCCTAAATCAGACTTTTCAAAGGTTAAATCCCTTGTTCTGATCCTTAAGACCTAATAACCTA